ATAAGGCAGGGGCACATGGTGGTTCAGTTGGTTAAGCATCCAACTTCCGCTCAGGTCATGATCTGGCAGTTTGTGCGTTGCAGCCCCGCATCGGGCTCTGTGCTGACAGCTCAGAGCCTGGAGCTTGCTTCAGATTCTGGGTCTCCCCCTCTCTCTGTCCCTCCCCTGCTCTCATTCTGTCTCTCTCTCTCACTCTCAAAAATAAACATTTTTTTAATTAAAAAAAATCTTTCAGTATTGTTAACACACAGTGTTATGTTAGTATCAAGTGTACAATATAGTGAGTGATTCAACAATTCTATATATTACTCAGTGCTCATCATGATGAGCGTATTCTTAACCCTCTTCACCTATTTCACCCATCCCTCCAGCCACTTTCCCTCTGGTAACCATCAGCATGTTCTCTATATTTCAGATATTTTTACTTTGATATGTCCATTAGCATCCAGACTCAGCTCTCTTTCTCTGTCTTGTTTGATTTACTTTCTTGTTTTTGTTGACTTTAGAATTTGTCTTTTGGACCTGTCTCTGATCAGTTCAAAAATATTTACAGGAAAGTCAAGACTACAAAAGTTCCATCTGGTCCTGACCACATACCTTATACTTTCATTTCTGGGCAACTGCCCAGTAAATACCTCTGACCACATCCAGGTTCAGTGTCACATCTTGAGGTAAGCATCCTGCCGAGAGGACAGTTTCTCACCACAAAGTTGCACTGTGGCTCAACACCTCCTCCGCTTAGGATACACAGGAAGAGCTTAATACACGCTCGGCCATGTACATCAAGACCAGTGGACTGGGGCTTGGAGGATGGTTATTCTCATTTAACAAAAGTAATTTCCCAGTAGTTTGTTGAAGTGGTGATGGGTGCTCTTAAATGACTTGAACCCAGGCTGTTTGCAAAGCACTGGTACTTTCTTTCTCCAATAGTTTTAAGAGGCCAGATAAATAATGTCCATATGAAGCCCATACGTATATTTTTGTAGTCAGATGAGCATTTCTGTATACATTTTTGTGAGTTTAATTTCATTTATTAAAAAGTATGTTTTCTGAAGATTATGTCACATCCTTTTGAATTTTACATGTCACCACATGATCACTGCTGTTCAGCAAATCTTCAATAAATGTTCCAAGGTGACAGATGAGGAGTATGTGCTTAGCATCCATTTACTTTGGAAAGGAGCGAGCTATTAACAGAGACTCCCCTTTACTTAAGGAACTTAACTGCATAACAGGGCAGCCTTTGTTGTTGTTATTCCCAACATCTTTTACCTTCTTGCTAAGGAGCTTTCTTCCTTTTGTATCCTCAGGCCCTCCCCTTCTCCTTAACTTCATATGAGCTTCATGTTGCCTGATTGCCTTTGGAATTTCATATCTGTGTGGATTTCCCATACCGACGCCTATTAAATTTGATTTTCTCCTGTTAGTCTGTCTCATGTCAATTTGATTCTAAGTTCAACTAGAAGGACCATAGCAGAGGAAGATCTTCCTCCCTGACAATAAATCTATCATCAGAAAAAAATAAATAAATAAATTTAAGGCCTTATCTGTTTAATTTCCTATGGTGGTCGTAAATGTGCTGAAAAATCTCCACAATAACATTGAAAAGAAGGGATGTTAGAGACTGCTTTGTTTTATGATTTTCCAAAAGACTATTAATATCTCAAAGTTAAGAACGATATTGATATAAATCCTCTCATATGTCTGCTAATGATTGTTTTTATCATGAAAAGGTGTTGAATTACAGCAAATGTGCTTTCCACCTTGATGTAATCATATTCTATTTCTTTAATCTATTGTTTATAGCAAATTACATTTAATGATTTTTCTTTCAAAGGAAAACTATTACACTCCTGAAATAAACTCAGTTTGATCAACTATATGACTATTATACACTGTTTGTTTTGGTTTAGTGCTGTTTTAGGATTTTGCAGCAATTTTCATAAATGAGATTGACTTTTCTTTTTCCTTTCTTATCATATTCTCACCTAATTTAGGCACCAAGATAATTCCACTTGTAGTGAAAGAAATAACAACTATTCCTTTTTTCCACACCATCTAGAAGAGTTTGTGTAAGTTATAATGCCTTTTTCTTGAAAGTTTATGATTTCTCTCCTGTAAAACTATTTGGCATTTGTGTTGACCATATGGGAAGATTTCAAATAACCTACTGATTTCATTATTTTTTCTAGCTTTATCAAATTTTGTGGAATCAGTGCTTGTGTATGTTAATTGTATGTGATACATATTGTACATAGCTTGTTACAACGTCCAATTGTTTTATTAGCTAAAGACTATTGCCTAATCATGATCTCTGATTGAATGGACTTAGATGCACTGATTGAAGTTTGTTTTCATGAGCTCATGTTCAGTGAAGAGTTAATGGGAGTGACTGCTTTTTCAGATATTTCTCTCCAGTGTCTTTTTGTTTATTTAAAGCGTCCCATGTGTATTATACTAATGAAATAATAACTACTATTATAACATTATAAAGAAGCCCCAGTACTTGCTTTTAAATAAACCCTTTATTTTATAATAGTCTTAAATTTATAGAAAAATTGCAAATATAGTAGAGTTTCCATATACCCCATCTCCAGTTTCCTGTATTAACAGCTGACATTATGACCCATTTGTCACAATGAATGAACTGATATCGACATTTTTTAAATAAAGAACATACTTTTTTCAGGTTTCCTTAGTTTTTACCTAATATCTTCTTTTCTGTTTCATTAGCCCAGCCAGGATACCATATTACATTTAGTCATTACGTCTCTTTAAGCTCCTTTTGGCTGTGACAGTTCCTTTTATCATTTCTTAATGTAACAAAAATTATGAGTAGCTAAAAACCAGAATACTAAGACATTAGTTGATTGTGTTGCTATTCTGGCATACGATTTGGTGCTATTGTTCTGAATAATAGACAGTAATATAATGAGTGATGTTGAAGGAAAATAGAGAAAAGGACTTATTTAATAGGAACAGAGATGGATCTGAGACACCACGTATATCATAAATGAAGTCATATTGGCTACAAATTGATAATTGTTTGAGCTAGGCATATGATGGTTCATCATAGAATTTTTATTTTGTAAACACTTTATATTTTTATAATTAAAAGGTTATGTATGTACACATATATGTCTATTCACATGTATGCATTTATGTGTGTGCATATACTTATACATATATATGAAAGATATCTTTCTATAGTTCCAATTTACATGAAATATATCGCATACTTGGTTCCATTCAAATTTATAACAGCATGTACACAGGATGATTAAGAAGTTAATTTAATTTTCTTATTTGTTTTCACACAGTACTTACAGCCATATTTTAGAACAATTTTACACTTTTAATTCAGAAAGAGATTATGTAATCCCATCATAACTCTCTTAACTCTGGGAAACTTCTTGTCACTGGATTAATCATTTTAAGTCATAAAATCGTGTTCACACCTCACATTTATTTCATCTGTTAGCAGAATTTTCTGTGCTGTGATAAGGCGGAAATACTGTGGTTGTTTTGTGTTTTTTCACAATGTGAGATTAAAATAACATCTATCATATCTCCCTCAGGGATCAAAGGTGACATCTCTAGTTTTCATTCTAAATTGGTAACCCAGGACATGTCTCAATTTTTCAGTTGTCTAGGAGGCTTTTATCCACAAGAATCAAGATCTTCCTTCTTGGATCAGGTGTGTTTCTGTGTGTGTTTTTGTTTCTGACAACTATTAGTCCAGAAATGAGAAATTCTTGAGATTTCAAACTCAAGAAAGTTTCCAAAACGATTTACACAATAAGGGAATTATAACTGCTTTTTAGCTGTTTGAATAGAATTGTGGAGGGTAAAGAATGCTTCTTACTTCTGAGGTATATACTCTTTTTTCCTGTATTCAATGACGAGTAGATAGGAGAAACTTACTGAAGAGTAAGTTATGGTGTTGCTATAAAGAAACATGGAGTGTTTGATGGAGTGGTATCATCAAACAAAACTCCAAGAATGAATCTACTTTTGGGATTAAAGAATGGAATTTCAACTTGAATTCTCACACCTGAGTTTTCTGGGCTGGTGCCGGGCGCGTAACCTTCTGTGATACACAGCTTTATTTGCAAATGAAAAACATGTTGTTACTTCCAACTACTGTGATCAAATATGAAATGGCTTTTTTTTTAACCTAAGCATGATATATAGTTATTAAATAGCCATTTTTTTCCTAAGAGTTCTTCTAGACATTGTAAGATGTTACTATATAAATATGAGATTATTTTTGCTAATGATGGTGATGACAACTTATAGGTGATGATGATGGTGGTGGTGATGATATGGACAGAAGTTGAATTCATGTTGAATTAACAACATAAAATAACTATAGATAGAAAATTATGTGTGTTGGGGCACCTGGGTGGCTCAGTCGGTTAAGTGTCTGACTTCAGCCCAGGTCATGATCTCACAGTTCGTGAGTTCAAGCCCCGTGTCAGGCTCTGTGCTGACAGCTTGGAGCCTGGAGCCTGCTTCGGATTCTGTGTCTCCCTCTCTCTCTCTGCACCTCCTCAGCTCATGCTCGCACTCTGTCTCTGTCAAAAATAAATAAACTTTAAAAAAAATTAAAAAAAAAAAAAGAAAATTATGTGTGTTGTCATTCGATATCAGTGATAAAAAATATTTCTGATTACGTATCTTAATGTAGGTGAATTAAAACGCCTGTTATTTTTTTGAAATAATTATTTATTATTTTGTAACCAAGAGAAGTTTAAAAAATTAATTTTACTTGGTTTATTTACCTGGCTTTGTATGAACTCTTATTTTCATTTTTTTCCCTTTATATATATGAACGGTAAAAATACTGTTATGTTCTCATTTTCCTAATGAAGATATGTCATCTCACCCTAAGGAAAGAAAACAAGAAAAAATGCCCAATTTTATTTTATTCAGGATTCCTTTGTAAAACGAAGTTTTTTTGATCACCACTGGCGTAAAGAAACAGTCATAATTATACAATGAATCTGGTCCGAGATCGGTGGGCTTGTCACAGCATGGGTATGTACTTACCACTTAAATGTGCAGTTTGGTTTGTGTATAATTTTTTTTAAGTTTATTTATTTATTATGAGAGAGAGTGAGAGAGTATACCAGGGACAGAGAGAGAGAGGAGAGAGAGGATCCCAAGCAGACTCTGTACTGTCAGCGCAGAGCCTGACATGGGCCTCAAACCCACAAACCATGAGATCATGACATGAGCTGAAGTCAAGAGCCAGAGATTTAACCGACTTAATCACCCAGGCACCCTGACTTGTATATAGTTTTTTAATAATTTTTTAATGTTTATTTTTGAAAGAAATAGAGAGAGCACGAACAATGGAGGTGTAGAGAGAGAAGGAGACACAGAATCTGAAGCAGGCTCCAGGCTCTGGGCTATCAGCACAGAGCTGGACGTGCGGCTCAAACTCATGAACCGCAAGACCACACCCTGAGCTGGAGTGGGTCGCTTGACTGACTGAGCCACCCAGGTGCCCCTCTGTAATTGCTAAGATGCCTAGAATTTGATACAAGCACACAAGGCATAAGAAAGCAAATTACTCCAGGGGTGCCTGGGTGGCTCATTCAGTTAAGCGGCTGACTCTTGGTTTTGGTTCAGGTCATGATTTCACAGTTCTTGAATTCGACCCCACATCAGTCTCTATGTTGACTGTGCAGAACCTGGTTGGGATTCTGTCTCTGCTTCTCTCTCTCTACCTCTCCCCTCCTCATGTTCTGTCTCTCAAAATAAATAAATGAACACTAAAAAGAAGAAAGCAAATTACTCTGATTCACTTATGTCCATTTCATATTATGTTCATGTTATATTTTAAATAAAGTTTCAAAAACTTGAAAGATTTTTTCCTCCTTTTTCTTTTTTTATTAACTACCTAAAGTAAAATCTTTCACAATCTGAGGCAGCCTGAAATAGTGACAGCATAATGATTTAGAGCTGGAAGAATGTTCCACAGACTTTCACCAGTCTCTAGCTTTGAGATCTGAGGGCAATCCACAGCCTCTACGCACTTAAGTTTCCTTTTTCTATCGAGTAGAGATATAAAACACGCTACATTGACCTTAGTAGATTTCTATTTCTAGCATTATATTAAATAAGCAATATGATTTTGGCCACCTGTAACATTCAATTTCTTCATCCACAAAATAATACCTACCCTCTTCACATGTTTGATAATTAAATTACATATGGTATGTACAAAAAATGCTTCAGTATAATTTTAAGTATAAAAGATAATTAGTATTAACATTCCATTTGTAAAAGGTAATGATTGCTATCTCAGGAAGAGAGCAAAATGATTTTTTACTTGTTTTGTTCAGGGACAAGATTCTTTTATGTGTCTTTATCTTAAAATGTTATGCCTTATTATATTATTCATTGTATATCCCTCACTTTAAACAAAAACTAGGCATTTAGTAAGTGTTTACTACATGATGAACATTATTGATACTAAATGCATATTATTTAATTTCACTTTTTAAAATACCCATAACTAATTGTACTGATGTCCTTTGTTCTTTCCTTTTCTCTTTTTTCTTATCATCTCTTCTTCCTTCCTTCCTTCCTTCCTTCCTTCCTTCCTTCCTTCCTCTTTCTTTCTTCCTTTCTTTCTTTCTTTCTTTCTTTCTTTCTTTCTTTCTTTCAAGTTGTTAACTTAGCAAATGTGGCTCCATGAGTTAAACACATATCTACCTCTTTAGGTCCCTGTCTTTCTTATTATACACTGTCTTTATTTTATTTTAATTTTTTTAATTTATGTATTTATTTTGAGAGAGAGAGAGAGTGCACGTGTAAGTGAGTGGGGAAGGGTGAGAAGAAAGCGAGAGACAATCCCAAGCTGGCTCTGTGCCCCTAACGAAATGTGAGATCATTATCTGAGCCAAAACCAAGAGTCGGACACTTAACTGACTCCCAGGCACTCCTACACTGTCATTGTTATAATGTTTCATTTCATTGCACGTTAAGAATTGACTTATTTTAATAGAACGGAAGATCTTGCTAGAGAGATTTTGCCATAGAATAAATCTAATTCTAGTCATCTTAAAAGCACAAAAATCATAATCGTGAAGTAGTATAAAACAAAAGTAACTTGATGTTATTGAAAAGGGACATGAATAGAATGGCAAGTGAAGTTGTGAAAATGTGTGACCCAAGTGGCAGAAAGGCTATGACTCCTATTGGCCTGAATTGTTTTCGTCTAGCCATGGACGCAGTCCGTAATTCCAACTCTGAGCTGGTATATCATGGTATTTCCACACGACCAAAGAGAAGGCATGTATTAAACACAAGCAAATATAGAGAAAACCGTAAGTTCCACGTCGCATCTATTTGTCTGCTCTCGGTATGTTGAGGGGAATTGCGGAATCCGTATGATTAGATCAGTGGCAAACATTCAGTTTAGTTTACCTTCAGGAGGAAAGCAGAAATGAAATTCACTCTACTATACTATTGGAATATATAATACAGTTACGCAGAAACTGTTCAGTTTGGGATTTTTTTCATGCTCTGCAAATGATGAGATTATCATTAACATAATAATGACAATTGAGACTGTAGTTTCTTGAGTTTCTTTTCAAGTTTTCATCTAAATTCCAGTTAATTAACATAGAGTGCAATATTAGTTTCCGGTTTGGAATTTAGGGATTCATCGCTTCCATGCAATATTCAGTGCTCATCCCAAGTGTGTTCCTTAATCCCCATTACCTATTTAGCACGTCCTCACCCGTCTCCCCTCTGGTAACTATCAGTTTATTCTCTGTAGTTAAGAGTCTGATTCTTGGTGTGTTTCTTTTTTCCCCTCTATGTTCATTTATTTTGTTTCTTAAATTCCACATATGAGTGAAATCATATGGGGGACTTCTCCCAGAGAGGAACTCAAAAAGATGTGCAATTATGTAAAAATGTATTCATCTTGTGATATCTAATAGCAAAACTAAGAAACAATTTAAATACACATGGGGAAAAAAATTAAAAACTGTCAGGAGATTTTTGTCCATATACCAATGAAAGACAATGCAAGAAGCTATGTATAAAAATTTGACAACTTTACAAGACATGACGTGGAATAATCTCCAAGATATTTCCTTAAGTGAAAAAAACTCACGGGATATTTTGCGCAGTTTCTTAAAGGTGTGTTTTTAAAAAGGGATTGAAAGGAACTGTCTGTATTTGTTATTGTATCTACATGAAAAAGTTTAAAAATTATAACCATGATTTATACTAAGGAGGAAACTGGGGGACTTTTGTGGAGAAGCAGGAGGGAATATGTATGCATTTCTATAGTCTCTCTTTTTTTAATCATTTGCAAAGTACCTATGTTACTTGTTCTGGGAAAAATAATTAGGGTAAAAGTACTGATACCACCCCTCCTATTAAAAAAAATCATCTAATGTTTATATTAAACATGAGCATACCAAAAATGTTTAATCCTTATTTTCTCATCTTTCTCACTCTTTTTTTGTTTGTTTGTTTGCTTGTTTGTTTTCTTTTGTTTCTTACAGCATCTCCATTTTTCCTAGTCCATTCCATTGCTATAGCTCTGGGGATCCACTTCATTATTATGGTAATGATATGCGGTGCCATAATCATACATTGTAAGTGACAGTAGAGAAGTAGATAGAGCATTCTTTTTTTTTTAATATGAAAATTTATTGTCAAATTGGTTTCCATACAACACCCAGTGCTTATCCCAACAGGTGCCCTCCTCAGTGCCCATCACCCACTTTCCCCTCCCTCCTACCCCGCCATCAACCCTCAATTTATTCTCAGTTTTTAAGA